GATGCCTAATCTACATACTCAGATGACGTATTTTCTTTTTGAAAAAAAATGATTGATCATTTCGGCTATTTCATGATTTTTTGTGCTACCCCAACCTTAAATAACGTTTTACTCCCGCTGAGTAAAACCAAAATGTTACTTTAGGCTAGGGGATTCACAAAAAATTGTATTTTTACCTATGCAGCGAAAAAAGAAAGTCTCAGAGCACGTGTAATTTATCATCCTAGGCGAAGCCGAGGTTGATAAATTGCACGTGCTCTGAGACTTTCCAGTTTTTCACTCCCTATTTTTTTTACGCGGGTAGGTGTCAAATATACTATTGTGTTTCTATGTGGCCCGTTCAATTATCTTTTAAAAGCACTCGGGGGTTCGTATCGGTCGGACAATTGGGGCTGCGCGCGTAAGACTGGTAGAAAACAGTTCATTTAGGATTTCAACAGATGTTTATAATTAGTTAGATGTTGATAATCACCTCGGCTTCGCCTCGGATGATAAATTGCACGTGCTCTGAGACTTTCCAGTTTTTCACTCCCAATTTTTTTACGCGAGTAGGTGCAAAATATACTATTGTGTTTCTATGTGGCCCGTTCCATTCTCTTTTAAAAACGCTCGGAGGCTCGTACCGGTCGGACAATTGTGGCTGCGCGCGTAAGACTGGAAAAAAACAGTTCATTTAGGCTTTCAACAGATGTTTACACAGTTGGGAACTGCAGGTATAAAAAAAAGAGAGAGAGAAGCTCTGATACCAACGTAACATTATATAATATACGACTCGACTCTCTCATCAAGCACTCGATGCGCGAAGTGGTGGCGATGGGTCAGATTCAATTATATTCCCGAGGGGGTTTTCTCTCCTATTCACATACAAACTGCAGTAGCAGTAGCAGCGATGACAACGACCCAACCGATGCCAAACGAGCTCTTAATTAATGAAATCTAGTAGCAGAACTGAGAGAGTCTCGTCATCCACGCGCGGTACCATACTTGCGATCCGTGCGTGCGTATGCAGCGACTTGGAAGTCGTTTGCGCGACTCGCCGTTTTATTATCTTTTCCCATGGTCCTTCGTGCGGCGGTCGTCATTTTCCCACTACGTACGTACTATAGGGCATGCAGAGTGCCGCACAAGTAAGTTCATTAAATTGCAGCAGCACCCACCCACGCACACGTATGTACGCGCGCGCGGCTGTATGAATGTACGAGAGGTGTTTTTTTAGCCCCTTCGGCTATTAACGGTTTATTGAAGGAAAAAAAAGCCGCTGCTGCCTGCCCACACGCTTCGCGGGGAGGGCTAAATAGAAAATTGCGCCTTACTTGCGCATTAGGCATAATTAAACTCGGTGTGCACACGTATAATGTATATAACGATCGGCCCCAGTCGTCGGCCTATATTATTGCATTACATATAGTGGCTCGGTGTGGCGATCCGATATATGAACGAGTTGTGTGTGTGTGTGTGTATATATGTATCTATTAGCAGCAGAGGCATGATGGAAATTACGCACTACTGGACGAGTTTCCTTTATTACTTTCCTCGCGCTCGCTCCCTATGGCTGGGCGCATTTAGCGCACGTGATGCGAGCACAAGGACACACACGCGTGTCTTTTGACGTCTACGTATGAATGAGAAAAACACGCTGCTACGCACGCTGCTGCTGCTGCTAATGCTGCACCTCGCCCACGCATACAGCTGTACACGAGGCCGCGCGCGCGAACACGACCACAGAGCAGCACTATTAAGCTCATTGACTGTTCTAAAACTTCTGGGTCAAGCTAGCTAGCGTGTGTGTGTTGTTCTGGCTACGGACTCTTGAGCTCTATATAAGCTCTTACACACACGGGACTTTATTTTATTATACCACACTGTACATATGGCTATCTCGTAATCAAGTACTTCTAATCTTTCGAGTCGCCGAGTCTTGGAAGTTAATTGATCGTACCGCCGAGAATTAGCATACATACACGAGCCTTAATGGATGAATTATGCTCGCTGCGTGGGCGACCCATCGAGCCTGCAGCAGCTCAGCTCTGTGTATCAATTCATTCTTATTCTTTATATCCGATATGAGCGGCACTTATGAATGCGCCGCGATCGTACGTACGTACGTATCAACAACAAAAGAGTACAAGAGAGAGAGAGAGAGCCCGCGTAGAAAAAAAAATGAAGGAAAAGTGTAGGAAAAAAAAGTGTAGGAAAAGTGTAGGAATAGATTCGGAGATACACTTTTGCTACACTTTTTTCTCGCATTGATAATCGTAAAATTCTACGATTACTTCGAGGATGTCGACTCGTTCATGCTCGATTGGTGCACCACGCCATGGTAATCGAGAGCCAGGACGTAATATTGCCCTAGAGGACGACTTTCTCGAGGAAGTCGACGGGGTTTTACCCGTTCAGAGCACCACGTCGCGCTAGACGGGTACCAGGTGGAAATATTGTACTTTTGGACGATTTTCTCGAGGAAGTCG